CACACAGGCTGCAGGTGCATGGTGAGTGTTATTGAGTGCGTCCTGGTTACTAACTGCTATTTCTCTTTATACTCCCTTCTTCTGGTTTTCCATCAGCCCTTGTTTTCTTCCCAGGGCCTTGGCGGATGCTTGTGTACAGCTCTGTTGGGGTCCCCAGACATTGCATCCTGCCTGCAGAAGGGTCATAAGTGGCCCCACAGGATAACCTGAACAACGGTGGGAAAGACAGGGAGCGTGGGTCTCCTTTACTAACGTGGTCCTGGCTACCTCTGTGCCAAAAGCATACATGCTGCCAATGAGCGCTTTCAATTCCCATTATCAGTGTGAGTGTGCACTGCATGTGACTGAGAATGTTTGCTCATGTGCTTATGTGTGTGAAAGTGGGGCCAAACAGGACATTCATTATACCCAACACAGATTATAAATTGAATATTTAGAAGTGCTCAGTCAGTGTTGTTTCAAGGCTTTGATTTATTCAGACAAACACAAACACACACACGCACACACACACACCTATCAACACACGGCACGCACTTTCCTCAATTTTGATCCCCCTCTACATCACAAGAGGCCCCTCTTTGACTTCCTGTCTGTGTGGGAACCATTTCTATCCTTTGTCACACATGGAGTGAGAGAAGGTCTCGCTCCTGCATTTGCCTTTTAAAGACAAAGTGATTGTCAATAAACAAGGAACAATTGAACGCCCCCATGCATTCAACAGGCACTTCTGCTGTTCCTCTGGGATGTTTCATGAGTTTTGGGAGAGACTCACTTTTCCTCTTGCTTTTCCTCCATTGGACAGCAGATATCAAGCACACTGGTGAAACTGTTTTGTAACTTTATTTGTAGGATTTACTGTAATGGAAGCATTTCCTGCATGTTTAAAGGCATTTCCGTGCATGTATAATAATAATAATTATTTGTGTTTTATATTAGAGTAAAATGATCCATCACTATGATATTTTAGGTACCAAAAACAAGCATTTTCCCCAGTTAAAGGGCACCTGTCACACTCTTTGTTTAAAAGACACATCTGCAGTCTGCACTAATGGAGTTGCATGGGAGCAAGTCTATGCAGCTGTTCCAGAGGCAAGTTGCTATGAGGTAAACATGGCTGCGGGAAAGCCCCTTATTATTGTGCTCCGGATGACGTTCCTCACTCTTCCAGTGTTTACCGTGGAAATAACTCTGTGCCAGCGAGCAGGTGCTTCCTCAAAAACTCTTTGCTTTTCCAGAAGATTTGAGGGTTGAATTCATCTCACCAAATCAAACAGCATTAATGAAAGAGGTCATATATTGAGTAGAGGTGTATATTGTTGTATTTTATTTAGAAACTGTTGTGTTTTTTCATCCATATACATTTAAATCAGGTTAAACAACAGTCTTACTGAGTGTTGTTTGTGACCTCTAGTCCTTCAATCAATGGTGCATTACACTCACATACTTTCACATGAATGTGGCCAGTCAGCAATGTGAACGTGCTGACATATGAAACTGTACCTTTTAACTATTTTATTTACTGAACAGCTAGAAAAAAATGATTTTTTTAGTGAAAACAGTAGGAGGCACTGTTCTCGCTTAAGTTGCCTGGACTGATTGACATCTCCCTCACTCTCAAGTTGGTTTTGTTGCACCTTTTTCATTTTTATTAATGTGGTGTAGTTTGGTGATGTGACATAATTCCCAACATGGCTCCACTCACTCTTCTCTCACCTGAGCAGAGGTCTAACTAGCCAGACTAGTACATTGATAACACTTGTGGATATGCAGGCCTTCAAACCCAAACCGACCTGTTATTTCTAAGACTTCTAAAATTCAAAGCCACGACATGTTATCAGCTGGTAACATTCCTTACCTCCTGACCAGGTGATCTAACTGTACTCATTTTTTTTTTAGATTTAGTGGCATCTAGTGGTGAGATTGCAGATTGCAACAAACTGAAACCCCTTGGCTCATCCAGGCACGAAGAAGAAACTATGGTAATCACGAAAGGAATGTTTAATTTGTCCATTCTGGGCTACTGTAGAAACATGACAGTTCAACATGGCAGACTCCGTAGAAGAGGGCCTGGTCCCTTTGTAGATACAAACGGCTCATTCTAAGGTCAAATTAATGTTGCATCAGGCAGCAGATGTTGTAAAAGGGACTTTAAGGGCTACATGCAATGTTCTTGACTCAGTAAGACAGCTTGAGAAGAGTTGCCTGCCCCTCACTGTGGTGTTATGCAGTCAATCAGAGTGACACCAATTATGTATGTCACATGACCACAAGAGACTGCAAATGGAAACTCTGAGAGAGGCACATCCATCAGCTCTGTCTAATGGGGCTCACAGTAGAAGAGGAATGAATGAAGTCTCAGTAGACAGACTCACGCACTCATTCACCATACCTTCCATAG